TATAGTAAGCCCCATTGAATCCAATTGGTCCTACTACAGGTGGCATGCATAGGCTGTTCCTCTGGCAAGGGTGAATTTCTTTATCTCAATGTACACCATATAAGCTGGGCAGCCATAGGGGAAGAAATCTTTGGGGTACTGAGCTATTTCTCCCTTCTACTGGCAAAAGGGATAAGGTCAATGGAAGCCTTAGTGGGCTACAAGCAAAATGTAATTGCGATGGAATGTATCTACAAAGGGATGTGTGTGTGTGAGGGAATGCAGTAGAGACCCAGTTTCTCAGGAAGGAGGGAGCACATTCCAGGAAGGAAAAGGGGGAGACAAGAGGCAACATAGTTCAGAGCAGGAGTGTGGGAAGAAGAGACTTCAGATAGCCACTCCCTAGATTCTCCCAGAGTATATCAATTAGGTTAGCATAGTACAGATTTAATCTGGGAAGATTCTGTCTATATGGTGTAAGCAATAAAGAACTGAACTTGGATGGATTGTTTCCCTGTTGTTCTTGGGCCGGGCCTGACAGTAATACCATCACCTGGTAATTCGTTACAAGATGGCTATGGAAGGAGAGCTTCACAGTATCACTACAAGCCTTCCTTCCCTTTTTATCCTCCCCAGGACTTTAAGGTAGGGTAAGTAGCTGGACCATACCAGTGTCAAAGGTATCTGCAGGAGGGGGGGGGGGGGGGAAGCAATGCATGTAAAAAACAGATGGAGTTTCAATCACACCATCATGGCTGCCATCTTGACATTTTTGACCACACCCTGTGGACGTCCTGCTTGTGCTTCAACTAGAACAGGAAGATGCCTTCACCACGTGGGTGTGCAAGTTGAGAGGGGAGATTGTAGCTGTCTGGGAGAGAAGGAAAACATAAGGTTGTGGGGGAGAAAGGGGCAAACGCCAGGACAAATTGATTGGTGAAGCATGCAGCTGGTGACTAGTGGCATGGAAAAAGCAGCCCTGGAATTTAGAGACCCAAGGAGCTGAAAGTGAGCAGAATAGCAGAATCTGGCATCCTTCCAACTCCTCCAGAAATGCTGACATCAGCCAGCCAGCAGCTGGTAATGAACCTTCTCCCTCCCAACTGACTGAAGGACTGTGATGCTAAAGTCCCTGCAGCAGTTCATCATGGAAGCTACCAGTACTTGGCTGAAAACATGAACATGCCAGCCAAACCTAAGTGACTATATCTGGCTGAGGAGTTTCCCCACCGTAAGGATGAGTCTAACTAAAGAGTAGGCAATTCAAGCCTTCCTGTAAAGGACAAGAAGGAAAGGAGAGAAAGTAATTTATGAAAACTCATAGTAACTCTACGGAAGGACCCTCTGAATTAGACCCACAGCTCACACAGAAATAGGTACGTAGGTTATGGGTATAGTGATAAGGGCTAGAAAAACATGATGAATTGATTGATTATGTGCTATCAAGTTGGTGTTAAATCTTAGCAACCCTGTAGATAGATTTTCTGAGGACAATCTGTCCCCAACCTGGTCCTTCAGATCTTCCAATGGTATACCCAATGCCACTGTAACTCACTGCTGCTTGTCCTTATTTTCTTTCTACTTTTCCAAACATTATAGACTTCTCCAGAGAACTAGGTCTAGGCATAATGTATCCAGATATGATAATAGAACTTGGCCATTTGTGTCTCATAGAAATAAGTGGGTATCATACATTCTGTTTGAGACTTGCTATTTTTGTATAATAAAATCTCCCTTGTAATAAAAGGAAGGGGGAAAAAAAAGTACAATCCTTATCTGTGGTTTGTACCATTCCTGCAAAAGAACTTCTCACAATGGCATTTACCCCAGGGAATGAAACTAATAAGAGAAGCAAAAAACACCATTAACAAAACCAGATGAATGATCACACTATTTTAGCTGGCTGAGCCAGAAAGCAAGTTCTGTTTCCTGACAGAATTATTGGACGTGTTTTATAATAGGCTCTTTTCAAGTTATGGATTGATGGGACTCTCTTTTCCTTCTTATGAGCTGAAGGAATGGAGTTGAAACAACCTTGAAAAAAAGCCTTTGTCTAGACAAACTGGGGATCCTTTTGTATGTAGATATGTTAATGAGGAGTTCTATTCCTGTCCCAGTGTTAGAGGAATAAAAAATAGGAAAAGTTGTCTAATCAGTGGAGTAGTCTAATATTATTAGGAATAGACTCTCCAATGTCTTCTAGTCTTGCGATCTTAAGTACCATTTCATTGCTAAACATAATTGTTGTTACATATTGCTTTTTGTGAACCAAAATAGGTAAGTCAATGGAAGATCTGCATCCTTCATAAATTTTGTAAAAATCAGGAACCAGGGAGGGTAATTTGTACTGGGATCATAGAACTGGGAAGAGGGTTCCATTTTAAAAATTCCCCTCCAAATTATCTTCCTCATCAGAAAAAAACAGAAAAGAAAAGAAAAGAAAAGAAAAAAGCAGAAGGGTATATGCAATTTTTTTCTCCAAGAGGGCAGATAATTATTTTCAATGGATGATTTCCATGGAAAAAATAGTGCAAGGGGAAGAGGTTAGCATAGCCTTCCATTGTGCCTTTCAGATGGGTTGGACTTAAATTTCCCACAATTACTTGAAATAGCTGAAATCCAATACATCAAAAAAGTACTAGGCTAGGGAAGACTTGATAAATCTCCTCCTCCAAAAAGCTTGATAGATCTTGTTTTCTTTATAATGCTGATTCAAAGTTTACTTAATCCCAGATGCTGATACTAAGTTCAAGAGAAGGGTTGTCAAATCAGGAATGCTCTTGTTATCTCATGCCAAGCAGAGACTATGAATCAAATCTCAAGTTTTATGGCCACAAAGCTTGGATGCCTCTTATGCACATCCATCAATGAATAATAGGATCAGTGCACGCTCTCTAGTAAATATTTGTTTCATTCACGTATTGCATTTAGGTATATTTTACACCTAATGTTAAGCATTTGTCTTTACTTAAGTCAAAAAAAGACTTCTATTTATTTATTTATTACCCTTTTTTATACCCAGCTTACTCTGGGAGATTATAAAATACATTGTAAATATTATAAATGCCATCTTTTCTTCAATCAGTTTCCATTTTGTTGTAATGTCCAGATGTGAGTTGGACTGTATAGAGGTGCACACATAGCACTGTTGGGGGCATCTTAAAGCAGTTGTCTTTTCAAGGGGTTCCACCATGGCCCTCTGCATAATACTAAGAAAATATACAATTTGTGTAATGTGTTCCTGACTCGTACTACATGCACACCCATGCAAGCTCTGCATCAAATTTTGTCTTTTGAATCTAGATTTCTACACAGCTGTACAATTTAATACTTGTTCCTAAGCATTAATCATAAATTAGACCCAAGGCCTATCTAGTCCAGCATTCTGTAACACTCAGTATTCAACAAAATACATATGGAAACTCACAAAAGGACATGAGTCTTTAACTCTTTCCCAAGTCACTGGTAATTAGAGATGCAACCAATTGAAGCTAGTAGCCATCGCTAATGTCCATATATTTTTCTACTTCCGTTCTCAAAATCATACAAAAAAGTCAAAACTTGCAATGCTACATAGTTTTCTTAGTCTATTTGGAAACAGTCAAAGTTTAGACCACAGTAGATGATAGACATTTTAAAATTTTCTTCTAAACCACTTCGGAACCCTTTGTTCTGAGGTAAGCCACTGCTGACATTCAAAGCAGTATATTAAACAAAAATCCTAAAAAGGATATTAATATTCAAGGGCTTATTCAACAAAAATTTGCAGGGGTATGTATCTTCTCACCAAAAAGAAAAGCTGTATTGATTGATTTTTTTCCCATCCATTTCCTCCAACCATATTTTATTCTTTATTTGTTCATTAAATGTATATTCAAAATTCATTGGATTTACCCCCTCCCCCTTATTTTATCTAATTGTTGCTTTCTACTCGTAGTGCTTGGGACAGCCTAATGGCTCTGATACCAAGAAAGGTAGGCCTTATCAGATCCTATATATAAAATCTTTGAATTTAATGGGAAAAAAAATAAAAAAAAAGCAGGTTATGAAGTATGGATCAATTCATAACTAGTCACTCAAGAATCTGTTCAGTAATGGAGTTTATCATTGAAGTTCATCAGTCATACTTTTTAATTAGAACTTTTTACTTTTCATAAAGAAGATAAATATATTAGAAAGAGGGGACAGCCATGTAATACAATTTATTGAAATCTACTTAATGAACTAAATAGACTTCCATTTTGCATTTCTGCTGTAAAATATTGCCCCAGATGCCTAATGATATAAACATTAATACAATTAAAACAATTTTGGCAGATAATTAAAATAATAAATCAGATTTTTAAAAAAAGAGTTAAAAGAATAGAGCCTATCTCAACAAATTTGTCTTCACCAGATGACAGAAATTTAAAACGTGTGGGAGCACAGACTCTCCATGGAAGAAAATCCCATATTTGCTATATGACTATAAAAATAGCCTTTGACTAGTCTGCAATGGAGCACAGAAAAGAGCTTCTTAGACAGATCTTAAGTAATCCATAGGAATCCAAGTGATTTAGTGCTTTACAGATAATAATTAGTATGACTGTTCTAAAAGGCAGGAGAAATGCTGATGCAGCCATGTTCTTGAGAAGAATCTCTGCATTCTGGCCCGAGTGATGTTTCTTGAGGGTCTTCAGAGGCAGTAAAAGAGCTTCTTAGACAGATCTTAAGTAATCCATAGGAATCCAAGTGATTTAGTGCTTTACAGATAATAATTAGTATGACTGTTCTAAAAGGCAGGAGAAATGCTGATGCAGCCATGTTCTTGAGAAGAATCTCTGCATTCTGGCCCAAGTGATGTTTCTTGAGGGTCTTCAGAGGCAGTCCCAGTTAGGATATGTTATAATGGTCCTACAAGCTTCATCTAATATGTCATTGTTTCTGTCGGTAGCTCCCATTATGCACATAAAAATTCTTATACTTCTATACAACCTCCCCTCAACCCAATACATTTCAGTTTTGAGAAACAGCTAGCTTACCATCAGTTCGAAGTGTTAATGGAGTTGGGGGACTGAGCACCCTGGCATTTGTCACTGTGTTCTTCACGAGGCAGATATAACTCCCAACGTCAGACGGTTGTACCTTGGATATATAGAGGTTGCCTGTTTCCTGAGAGATGAAACGCCTGCTATCTTCTGCCACAAAAGAAGGGAACGCATTAAATACCCAGCTATAGATGATCTCTGTAAAATAAAGAGGCAGATATTTTGAGTCTCTTATGGCAAGACCACTCCAATCAAGAGAGCAAATTACACATGACTGAAAAAGGGAACATAACTTTTTTCCATGGAGCAAGGCAGGTGTTCTATAATTATGGGTTAGCTTTTTTACAAAGATATGTGCTTATTTATTATTGTTATTTTTAATGAACTTGGAAAATATGTGTGCTTAGCTGTGGGTAAATATTTTCCAGCACTTGTAGATATAAAGCTTTTTTACACTGAATAAGATCACCACTTGTTCCAGCCTTCAGTGGTCTGACTAACTCCTGGTGTGAGGAATCAAAACTCGATGATTAAAGATTCTTTACGGAGAAATGTGTTACTAATCACTTAGCTATGTTGAACAGGAAGCAATAAAATATGCCAAATGCTTAAGGAGGAATTAGTATTAACATTGCACGGACTTTTTCTGAACAGCACTTGGAAATATATTAGACCGTATGTTAAATGCCGTATGAAACCACCGTATTTAATTTTGCTTCCAGGAGATGACAGAAAAGTAAAAACACATCTTTTGGTTCCAGAACTTAAAGGACTGAGCAGCCTGTAGTCTTCCTGCCTCTTGACATTATGTTGTCATATTTGAGTGGTGCAATTTTTTCTCCTCCACCCCTATTTATTTAGCAAAATTAAGGCTAGGAATAGAAATGGGAGGGCTCTGAGAGGCAGCTACTCCATTCTTAGTACCATCACTCCCCCACGCTCCAAGCCTGTTATTGTCCTAAAATATTATTTTGGAAATTCAGCCATTTTTGCCACCAAAAACTGGCAGTGGGATTTTGGGGAGGAGTGCTAAAGGATGGGAATAGAAGTAGTTTACCTCCCATCCACACCTTTAACTCCCCTCCCCCAAAAGTGACAACTGGCCTCAAAATTTCCTCTTCTTGCTTTCTGATGTCACTGGGGCTACCTGCAGCCCATCAGAAGGTCAGGAGGCCAAATGAATTATATGCCTTTACCTCCCACCCCCCGAGAATGAGCATAGAGGAGGTGACTGTGCATGTTTGCTCTTCATCTTGATTCTTGACAATGGTCCATTCAATGAATTCAGCTTTCTGAATGTGCACAATAACTAACTAGGGACAGCTAGTTTTGCACAACATACTGGGCCAAAATATGTTTGGCTAATGATTCCGTGTGTCATGTGAACTCAGACATAACTAATAAAAACAAGGGAAAGTAGTGTTGTTCTTTGGAATTACTAGTCTAAAGGATGTCTAAAGAGCCTTTTTGTCCATAGACCAGCAGGACAAACTGCAGTGATGGCAAGATGAGGACCAGTACCATAATGCAATCACCTAAATATTGCAATTATATAGTAATACTATCACAGGCTTTTGTGGATTCATGGGATATGATAGCGCTTTCTCTCTCTCTCTCTCTTTCTCTCTTAGCACAGTAAAGCAACTTTAATTTTAACTTTAGTTTCTGATAAGCACCAAGATTAGATTTATTTATAGCTAGATAAACTAAATTCCTCTCCTCCAGGATCCTGCCTTTCTCAGTGCTATCTGAACTAAAGGCTTGAATCTGGCTAGGCATTTTAAAGTTGCTACTTTCCTATTGTATATGAATGCAACTTAGAGTGTTGAGTAAATATAAAGCATAGTGATTGATTAATTGATTGATTATGTGCCATCAAATTGTTGTTGGCTCTTAGTGACCACATAGATAGATCTGTGTCTCGTTATACTGGCTGGGTGTCCCTCTGTCTCTGGCTAGCATTCTCTCTCCTGATTTCTTTCTCTTTCTTTAGCAATCCCTCAAAATTCCCCAATCTGCCCTTCCTCTTTCTTTGGGTTTTCTCTGAAGCTCACACCCAGCTTCTTCTCACACCCAGAACATTCAGCGGCAAACACTTTCTAGAATCCATTTTTACTTGACAGTCATTACTCCATCTCCCAGAAGACTTTTCTTTAAGTTTCCAGCTTTCTCCTCCTCCTTTTGACAGCTCAATAGGGAAAAGAGGGAAAGAAATGAGAACCTATGCTCTCTCTCCTACATTCAGGAGTGCTATCAGTAAAAAGAACATATTAAGGAAATGACTGAATTATGTCATGATACCTGATAATCAAGTTTCTCACAATGCACATCATTTGTCATCTCTAGTATCTCCCCCCCAAGTTTTTCCTTCCATGGTAGCAGATTTCCAGCTGTTTTTCCTTAAAGTGGACTCTGTACAGACCACTTTTCCATATAGGTCAATATTCTCAACACTACTAGCAGTTGTTCAGGATGTGAAGCAGAGATCTTGTTTGGACCTACTATACAATTCATCTGCATGCTTAGCATGTGCCCCTTTGCTGAACTAGAGGCCTTCTTCTCTCCATATCCTGCCTGCATTCCTCACAGTCACACTGGAAAAATAGCCAATGAAAAGGAAAGAGATGCTAGAGGTTGTTAGAACAGAAGACACTGTCTTCTGCCACAGCTATCTGAGAAGATTTTCACCCCATGTTTATATTCATATTTTCCATTTCTCTTATCTCATCTTCTCCTTCCCGGATCCCCCCTCCTGATCTTTCCATGTTGTGGTACTTTTGACACCCAATATTAGCTCTTAGGCAGCCTCACTCCAGTTCCCTGACAGACTTTTCAGTTCTGGTTCTAAATATAGAAATGTCAAGGTTAGTTCTGTAATAGAAAGTCCATTGCTACTGCTCAAAGAGACAAAATGTTTTGCTCCTCCAGCCTTGGATGGAGTTACTAATTATCTGTAATGGGCAGTAAGAATAAGCTTGAGGAACAGGAGGAAGAGCCACAACCAAGACAATGGTCAGACAAAAGAAATCTGAGTCTGGGGCAGAAATGTAATTTGAGGAAGCATCTCAGATTTGACCCTTCTTAGTTCTCTTGAAGATAAAAGGAGGGAGGGGGAAATGCATTCAGACTTGCAAGATTCTGTTACAATAGCTCTACAATAAAATCAGTATTAGCATTCACAACTTTGGTTTCCTTGTCTGGTCTTCCTCAGAGGGCTGACATCTGATCTATTGCTTTCAACAGCAGCAGTATGAAGATAGTAATCGCAATCTAGCCTGATAATGCACTCATTTCTACTATTCTAATCAATACAGATAGCATTACAGCCAATGAATAGTTTTGAGGAAATTTAAGGTCACAATATTTTGCTATTTTTAAGCCACCATCATTTCATTTGGGCCATTCAGCTTAGTTTTGGTTTAATGATAAGAATGACACTAGTACAGCTAGAGAACTCCTTCCAGGAGTTTTGTTTCTTGGTTCTATTATGAGTCTATGATGGCCTTCCCAATGCTGGGGCCCTTGAGATGGGTTGGAATGATCATTGACAGAATTTTGAGCTAGCACACTATTTAGTTTTTAGATTATAAATCTGAGATTTCTGGAGGCATAAGTACAGTATCTGTTTCTAAACACAGTGATGCTAACACGAGAAAACATTCATTGTGACATCAAGCTCTGCCCTTTTATACTTGTGCCATGGCACTGTTGGATACATCCTTCCCTTCCACCAAATTGTTTCCTTCATGGTGCAGAATAAAGGATCATCTGATGTCCTTCTTCCCATCTCTGTTTTGCTGCTGTTCTGTACCTAAAAGGGTTAAGGCTGGAATATTTTAGGCCTGTCCATGCTAATTACTCACAATATTGTTTATTGGCTCTGGACAGTTCTGCGCCTTTTGAGAGATATAGAAATATAGATAATGTAAATTGTTGCCTGTTGTTCAAGTTTCTCTTGCCCTGTTTTCCTCTGCCTTTTCTCCTATTTTTACCAGTTAACTGTTTTAGCTGATGTCTTAAAAATAAACATCATGCTGTATTCTTGCTAGCTGTACTGAGTGGTGGGTATGCTTGCTCTGATCTGGATTCAAGGATTGACTGGGAGTATGCTGGGTGGAAACTAAAGTGGGAACTACCCACAGGAATTTCCCACCAGGCATCACATACAAGGATGCATAAAGCAGAATCTTTTGTCACTTGTCCCTGTTTTATCACTTATCCTCCTCACTCCCTGAGCATATGTATGCTGGCAATGGTCTAATGCCTTGTTGAAGCTAAATTGGCGATGATGGCTTGAGTCTGTTCCATGAGAGCTCATCTGAAAATCCTATTTGTGCTATCTTGAATAGCATAATGGACAAATAATGCAAATGTGGATGTGTATAAAATAAATAATGATACAAACTGCTGTCTTTCAGAACTTCCAGTTTACAAAGCTCACTTTTTGGAAAAAATATTTCTAGTTAATGGCATGTGTTGCTGATTAACATGGAAGAAGGAAGAGGAGGTGGGGAGAAGAGAAGCAGCAGCAGCTTCTGATAATTGTTATGGGTTACAGGAAGTTTTCTTTATTGGAAATGTAGCCATCTTTTGGTTCACTGGTAACTTATGTGCAATCAGAAAGATTTAATCACTGGCTTGACAGTATGGGCTTTTAATAATTGATCAATGAATTAATATGATGTCTACAGACCATTTCAGCCCTTGGTTGAAAAATAAATGCTGTGTTTCCATCTGATGAAGATCAAGTTCCTTTTCTGATATTTTGAATATTAATATTCCTCCTCCTCCACCTTCTCTTCCTCCTTTCACTTGGTTTCAAATTGCAGTTACATTTCACTCTGGCAGTTTCAAGAAGATAATCTGATCTTTATATGCTCAACAGCAGCAAGGTACCACCTTGCAAATGTTAATTCTGCCTTTCTACATCTTGCCATTTGCTTTTCCTAGTCAGTTAGAAAACTTTATGGATGACAGGGATGATGCTAGTATTTCCTTGTCTCTTTACCTTCTTGCAGATGGTGTTAGTAAAATGCTATACATTTGCAAAATAAGGGGGGGGGGGTTCTCTGATATTTTGAGCTCTCCACATTCTGATGAGCACTGAATCATGGCACTACAATGACTTTATTTCTCAGAGCTTCCTTCAAGTCATTTCATGGTACCTAACTTGGGTAGTTGGCCTCATGTACATTTTG